AAAAAAAGAATGCAATCTGTTATAGTAACTATAAAAAATATAAAATAGCAAGGAATAAATTTAACCAAGAAGACAAAAGACCTCTGAGAGAAAAACTATAAAACACTGATTATAGAAATTGAAAAGGACCTAAACAAATGGAAAGACATCCCATGTTCATGAATCAGAAGAGTTAATACATATTTTTTCCCCATGGTTTTTTTTTTTTTTTTTTTTTTTTGGTTGGTTGGTTGTTTTTTGAGTCAGGGTCTCACACTGTTGCCCAGACTGGAGTGCAGTTGTGTGATCAAGGTTTGCTGCAGCCTTAACCTTCTGGGCTTGGGCGATCCTCCTGCCTCAACCTCCCTAGTAGCTAGGACTGCAGGTGTGGACCACCGTGCCTGGCTAGTTTTTTGTAGAGACAGGGTCTTACCATGTTGCCTTGGCTGGTCTTAAACTCCTGGACTCAAGCAATTCTCCCAAAATGCTGGGATTATCGTCATGAGCCACTAGTAAAGAATTAATATCATGAAAATGACCATACTACCCAAAATAATCTAAAGAGTAAACACAATCCCTGTGAAAATACCAATGCCATTTTTCACAGAAATAGAAAAAACTAAAATTTGTATGGAACTGAAAACGAGACTAAATAGCCAGAGCAATCCCAAGCAAAAAAGATAAAGCTGGGCTGTGCTCGGTGGCTCAGCCTGTAATCACTGCACTTTGGGAGGCTGAGGGGAGTGGATTGCCTGAGCCTGCAGGTTCAAGACCAGCCTGAGCAACTTGCCGAGACCTCGTCTCTACAATAAATAAAAAATTAGCCAGGCACAGTAGCACGTGTCTGTAGTTCCAGCTACTTGGAAGACTGAGGCGGAAAAATTGCCAGAGCCCAGCAGGTTGATGCTGGGGCAGCTCAGTGTGTGCCACTGTACTTCAGCCTGGGCGACGGAGCGAGACTCCAACTCGCGAAAGAGAGAAAGAAAGAAGGAAAGAAATTGGTATGTCAAAGGAATGCACGAACCCATGTTCATTACAGCACTATTCACAATAGCAAAGATGGAATCATGCTAGGTGGCCATTGATGAATGAATAGATAAACTATTTGGCCATAAAGAAGGGTGGAATTACGTAGTTTGCAGCAGCATGAATGGACTTGGAGCCCATTATGTTAAGTGAAATAAGCCAGGCAGAGAAAGACAAATATAGGCCCAGTGGCTCACATCTGTAATTTCGGCACTTTGGGAGGCTAAAGCGGGACGAGCACTTGAGGCATGGAGTTTGAGACCAGCTTGGGCAGCACAGCAAGATCCTGTCTTTACAAAAAAGTAAGACAATTAGCCAGGCAAGTTGGCATGCTATTCAATAGGCTGAGGCAGGAGGACCGTTTGAGCCTAAGAGTTCCAGTCTGGGTGACAGAGTGAGACCCTGTTTTCTTAAAAAAAAAAAAAAAGAAAGAAAGAAAGACAGATGTGGGATGTTCTCAATCATAGATGGGAGCTAAAAATTTCATCTCATAGACATAGAGAAACGATACCAGAGACTGGGATGGTTAGGGTAGAGAAGGGGATGAAGAGAGGTTGGCTATGGGTATAAACATATTGTTAGAAGAAATAAGCTTTCATGTTTGATGGCAGACTAAGGTGACTATAGTTTCCACCATGTTATGTATATTTCAAGTAACTAGAAGGTAGGACTTGAAATGATACCAAGATATAAAAATGATAAAGCCGGGCTTGGTGGCTAAACCTGTAATCCCGTGCCTTTGGGAGGCTGAGGTGAGTGAATTGCCTGAGCCCGCGGGTTCGAGACCCGCCTGGGCAGCGAGACTTCATCTCTACAATAAATCAAAAAATCAGCCAGGCGCGGTAGCGCATGCCTGTAATTCTGGCTACTCGGAAGGCTGAGGCGGAAGGATCGCCAGACCCCAGCAGGTCGAGGCTGCGGTGGCCGGGAGCAGCCACTGCACTCCAGTCTGGGCGACAGAGTGAAACTCCAACTCAAAAATAATAATAATAATAAACACTGAAGGTGATAGATATTCCAAATACCCTGACTTTATCATTATATATTGTATGCATGTACCCAACCCTCGGCTGGACTCAATAACTCACCCAGTAGTCCCAGCACTTTGGGAGGCCAAGGCGAGTGGATTGCCTAAGCCTGCAAGTACAAGACCAGCCCAGGCAACTTGGCGAGACATTGCCTCTACAATAAATAAAAAATTAGCCAAGTGTGGTAGTCCAGCTACTTGGAAGACTGAGGCCGAAGGATCACTGTAGCGTAACAAGTCAACACTGGGGTGGCTATGAGTGTGCCACTGCACTCCAGCCTGGGTGACGGAGTGAGACTCCAACTCAAAAAAAAAAGTGTTGATATAGAATAATATTTTGGCATCAGAGATGGCAGATTTAACCCCCATGTGACAACCTCATCCCTAACTGCCTTAGCTAGCAGTGTCATGGGACATGGTTTCCGTCACCAACACTGATGCACAGTCTAACTATCGAGACTTCTTGAAAAGCTTTTGAATTTCTGAAATTCTAGTAAGAGACAAACGTGGCTGGGAAATCCTTTGATTATTCTGGCATTAGGACATAATGCCAAAAATGGAGCAGCCACCATCATAGCTTTAACTTTGTGACTAGGCAGGTCCTTTAATGACACTGTCCTTGCCTACCACACCTTATGATAGCACTTCCCAGATCCCCTCAGCAGTGCTCATGAGCTCAGTGTACCAGAATCCATCATAAGTCAGCACATGAAGGACCAAGAACTCTGATGACTATGTGACTCCAGCCCTGGAATGACCATATCGAGACCATTCCTGCTCCTTTGATCAAACTCTTGTCCTGGATTTATCCTATCCAAAATAGAAAAATGTATTTTACCATACAGACTTCTCAAATTGAAGGTACCAATTTATTCCAAAGTAATGAACTGAGTATTCTACAAGATAGTTAATTGATGATTTTTGCAGTGATGCTTACTTACTAGATTTCTTGTTATAATTCTTTAATTTTCATTTGCTATTTTGCAATAATTTAACTGCTGAATACGTACTATCCCAGCGTTGACCTGCTGGGCTCCAGTGATCCTTCCACCTCTGCCTTCCAGGTAGCCAGAACTACAGGTGTGCGCTACCACGCCCAGCTAATTTTTTGATTTATTGTAGAGATGTCTCACCAAGTTGCCCAGGCTATTCTTGAACCCATGGGCTCAGGCAGTCCCCTCACTGCGGCCTCCCAAAATGCTGGGATTACAGGGTTGGGCCACTGTGCCCAGTCCTATTTTAACATTTTGCTGGATGTTTTTCTATGTTCCTCTTGCTTCTCTGTCTCTTCTATGTGTATGTGTAGACATTCCCAATTATTTGTAATTGGGATCATACTCTACATGCTGTTCTCTACCCTGCTGTTTTTGCTCAATGTGCCATGAACCTCTTTCCATGGCAGCATAAGCCTGTATCACAGTTACCTTACAGAGTAGTCCCTTGTATGGATGCATCATAATTTATTCAAACAGTTCTCTGTTGATGGACATTCAGGTGGAAGTTTTTATTTTGAAGTAGGAAAAATAATACCTTTATGTATTTAGAAACGTTGGCGTCTAGTCTTTGTTTGGTTAAACTACTTAAGAAAAGCAGTACTTTCCATTCCTTGGGTGTTATTCTCTGAACTAAAGTTTATGTAGGTTTTTAAAATTATAGTCAATAATAAAAAAGTATCAAGAATTTTCAAGATCAGGGTTTTAACATGGCCAGCTCTGAACATGCCATTGTCGTAAATATTGCCAGCTGCTATTTAAAAGGAGCTCTTTTAATTTATTCCTGAAAGAGGGCATTTTCATCAGCTACCAAGCAGAGCAGCATAAGCACTGGTTTCTCTCATGTACCACAAGTACGTAGCCTATTGTTGGTTTAACTCCTTCATTTGTTTAAAAATTTTAACTTTGAAAGATGAATATAATTTTTTTCTATTTTATTTAACAGATAATACAGTTAACAATATAAAACTCAAAAGATAAAAATCTCCATAATGTTGTATATACCTTGGATTCTTTTCCAGTTCATACAGACACCCATACACATTAATGATTCGTCACTTCTTCTCTAAGAAATTATTACTAAAACACTATTTCTTTCGTGTGTGTGTGTGTGTGTGTGTGTGTGTGTGTGTGTGTGTGTGTGTGTGTAAGTAAGTCTCACTCTGTTGCCCAGGCTGGAGTGCAGTTCCATACTTACGGCCACCCAAGCATTGATCTGCTGGGCTCCAGCGATTCCTCTGCCTTAGCCTAGCCAGAACTACAGGAGCACATTACCATGCCCAGCTAATTTTTTTTTTTTTTGAGTTGGAGTCTCTGTTGCCCAGGCTGGAATGCAGTGGCATGCTCATGGCTACCCCAGTGTCAACCTCTGGGTCCCCGCGAATCTTCTGCCTCAGCCTTCCAAGTAGTCTGAACTACTGGTGTGCACTACCACGCCTGGTTAATTTTTTTTTTTTTTTTTTG